CCCCGCGCCCCTCTCAGCGCGAGCAGCCGTTTCCGCCTCCGAGGGCTCGAGGGCTCGCGACGCACTGGGGGCGCGGGATCTGGAGCCCCTCTGGGCCCAGGCCCGGGCGGCTCGGGTGGCAGTGAGCCCCGCCTGGCAGGCCGCTGTCGCTTCCCAGAAACGGCTCCCTGTTGCATCCGTCGCCCCCAGAGGAGCAGGCGGGGAGGCGGGAGGGAGGGAGACGGAGGTGGGTTTTCGTTTTGCAAATTGATGGGCAAACAGGTTGGGAGATAACCGTGTAGCCACCCCCGCCGCCATGGAGGAACCGCGGGCCGGGGCCCGGAGGGTTCGAGTCGCGACTTGTGGCTTCCGCCGCGCCTCTTTCAGACTCGGGTGCCAGAAAACTTTTATTCTCTCCCCCGAAGACCCGACGGGGCGGGAAAACATCGCGGGACGGGGAGGGGAAGGTGTCCAGCGACTCCCGCCAGGAACGCAGGGAGAAGGCTGGGTTGATCCCGCTGTCCCTACGGCTCCACCGGGACTGTGAGGACGCCACGCAGGAAGCGGCTTCCTTTTGCACCCAGAGCGTTCTGGAGTCAGGGAGCCTGGGAGGCTCGTTCGGATGGGGGGCCTGCTAAGGAGGATTTGGGTACCCCCTCCCCCTTTAATGCTGAGCACAGGCACCACTACGCGTGGCTCCTCCCATTCTGCAGGTGGGGAAACGGAAGCGTGGACGTTCGCTCCCGCGGCTCGTCCAGGGTCAGCTGCGTTTTTAAAGGAAGTGGGGAAGTGGAAAACGTAGGTTTTTCAACTTAGGGTCCTTGTTCCTTCCCTGTCGCTCAACCGACTGCCTGGCGCTGGCCTCTTGACCTTTCAGTTCCAGAATCCTGAAGTTAAGCTATTCTTACTCAGGCGACAGTGAGAGTGCTGAGATCAGCCCTTGAGCCTGTTTGACACCACCTTAGAGCCTGGGCATCTTCGCCCGCCCCCTGGCCTGGTCGAGCGGCGCCGGGACGCTGACGTGGGCCTAGGGCGCAGGACCGGCCGCTAGGCGGCAAAGCGCGGGCCGCGCTGCAATCCGGCCCGGCCCGTGGCAGAGCGTTCTCCTTGCCTGTGGCCCAGTGCCCCGCTCATGCTGCGCTAGCACTGCACAGGTTAACAAGTGCTCCAACGCAGAAAACACCAAGATCTCAATCCCACCTTGTCCTCTCTTCCCAATGGCGAGTTGCTGACAGCCAGTCTCGCCAACCTTTTCTTCTTTAACTCTGCGTTTCGCTTTGAATTAATTGATGCCTTTGATTCAAACTCCTCTTCTTGCCGTTACAGATAATCACTTAGGGAACGGAGAAACCAAACAGGCATACTAATACCATCTTCTTAGCGGTCTGACCTGATCTGGGTGCTAGGAATACAATTTAACAGGAACGTTCTTCTGGTGGCTTGTGTAATCAAGGTGATATTGGTGGGTAGGAACATGTGGTTAGAAATGAGTATGTGAATGGTAATAATGACTCAACTTCCACCAGTATTTTTAAGATATTTTTCTTCAGGAAAGCATTCTGCGTTTTGATCAGCTAACTCACTTGTGGCAAAGTGAACTGGGAAGAGAGTGTATGCAGACAGATCCTCTATGCTCATAATTAAAGAGTCTGGGAGGCAGACTGGTGGTGGGAGGCCTTCATGTTGGTGGGTTGGAGATGCAGCCCAGTCACATTCTCCTAAGTAAAAGTTATTCCACCCGTGTACCCCATAATAATGCCATTTTTAAGGTGCTGCTTGCAAGCACACGGTTGCTACTATACTACTTGAAGGCTATCTGCCTGGAGGTTATCTGCCATCAAAAGCAATCAGATCATCTAACCTTAAGGACTGTGCCCCCCACCTCCCTTCTGATAAGGATCCTACTTTGTTCCCCTGGAGAAGAGCTCAGAGACACTTAAACTCAAGCCAGCTCAGAGACGACCATGGTTAGGCCGCCATCTTAACTCTAGAACCCGTCCAAGAGTGTGCCGTCTGCAGATTGTTGTTGTTAAGTGCCATCAAATCTGTTCCAGCCCATAATGATCGTGTGGACAAAATACTGCCCAGTCTAGCGCCGTCCTCACAATTGTTCCTATACATGAGCCCATTGTTGTAACCACTGTGTCAGTCCATCATCTCATTGAGAACCTTCCTCTTTTACACCGTCTCTCTATTCTGCCAAGCATGATGGCCTTCTCCAGGGACTGTTCTCTCGTGACATGTCCAGAGTATGTAAGAAGACGTCTTTGAAGCCACTGTGTCGATCCATCTTGTCGAGGGTCTTCGTCTTTCTTGCCGACATTTACCAAGCATAGTGTCCTGTTCCAGGGACCAGTCGCTCCTGATAACATGACCAAAATGAAGTGAGGCGAAGTCTGTGCACCCTCGCATGCAAGGAGCATTCTGGCTGCACTTCTCCCAATACAGACTTGTTTATTCTTCTGCCACTTTCAACATTCTTCAGCAGCAGCATAATTCCAATGCATTAATTCTTTTTTGCTCTTCCTTATTCAATTAAGACCACCCAAAGAGTTTAAAAAATATATATCCATTCTCAAGGCCCTTGCCCTCACCCCAGACATTCTGATTCAGTAGGTTTGGGGTCTTTTTTAAAATGCTCTCAGAAATTTGCTAGCCTATTTTGGGCTACTAACCTCAAGGTCAGCAGTTCAAAACCACCAGCTGCTCCTCATGAGAAAGGTGAGGCTTTCTATTCCCAACAAGAGTTCTCAGAAATCCACAGGGGCAGTTCTGCTCTATCCTATAATAGCACTGTGAGTCGGGATGAACTCGATAGTAGTGAGTGTGGTTCGGGTTTGGGTTGTCCCTCTCCACTTGAAGGGCGGAGGGATAAATGGCTCGGTGAGCCTAGCCTTTCTAGTTCTCGGGTCTCTTGCTTTCTGACAGTCGGACCAAGGTGTAGCTACATTAGCCAATTCCCTGTTCAGCTGGCAAGGCTCACTTCATCCCGAGGAGAAGCCACATGGACCTACCCCAATGCAGCCCTGGGTGTTGGAGCAGCTGTGTGGAGACCCCTGTCAGCGCTGTGATGCTTACACGCTCACTGATTCGGCTTTCCTCCTGCAGTCGGCATCATAGTGTGTTTTGTGAGATGGAGGAGGACTTTGCAGAATGGTGTTGGACGTATGGGTTAATGTTGGGCTTCTGGGCTTGGGCGGCGCTGGGTTGGGATGTTTTCTTGATGTGCACTTAACCTTTATATAAGACTCTCTCTTGTACATGAGTTTTTGTGGATTTGTTTCTCTTAAGCACCCAGACTAATACACGGAGTCTTTGAGATTTTTTGGCTCCTCTGCCACTATATTCTCCTTCAGGTTTCTTCCGTCAGGTGTTCAGAATCGGGTCAGGAGTGAGTCACAGCAATGAGTCATGATCTCAGGGTCCTTTCCTCTAGACAATGAGAGATCCTTGGAGCTAATGTGGAGGTGCTCCATTTCATGCCTAACAATGGATAATCATGCAAAGTGGTTTCTTGTCCTCAAATGAGCCTAATCAGGATTAATTTTGCCTCTCAGTTTCTCATTTCTCTTAGTTATTTTTTCAATGAGAATAAATGAAAATAAAATAAGAATTCCTTTCTTTTTCCCTTTTTTATTTTATACTGCCTTCTCTTTGTTTCGTGTCTCTACAAGTGATTGATTATTTTAATTCTGTTTCCTTTCAGATAAAAAGCCAAATTGTACATGTATAAAAGTTAACACTATCAATAAAACAATGCAGACAATTTATTGTGACCATTTATTTTAAGAGAAACTTTAAAATGGATAATTATGATTCTTCTTCAAAACAGTAAATGAGATGCTGGAGTATCTGGAATGAATTTGCTAATGATTAGGAATTTAGGATTATTCAAGGTCAATTCACAACTTTGCTCCAACGATTTACTTTGATATTACGTGACGTCACTTCAATGGGTGTTCCATAAATATTTATGATACTTTTTTAGAAAACTAGGAAAGTACTTTCTTTTTGTCCCCTTGTTTTTGTAAATAGGACAAGACAACTTTTCTCTTAACATATAGCATATCATGATTTATACGAAAGTTCTATCAATCTTAATGTAAAATTATCTAATTCTATTCAAAAGGCCAAAATATATCTTAA